TGTGCTGATATGGAAAGGAAAGGGAAAGCAAGGGAAGGGAAGGGAAGGGAAGGCAAGGGAAGGGAAGGGAAGGGAAGGCAAGGGAAGGGAAGAATCAAGGGCAGTTGCTAGATTTTGGGTCTAAGGGACTGGATCAATGCTGTTGCTGTCTCTGACAAATAAAATGCTGTTTATAATAGTGTCTCTAATGTTGTGAGTATGATAACATATGCATTATGTTCAAGCAGAAAAGGATGGCCATAATACAGGATTCCCCATGCAGGAATCAGCCTCACTTAGGGTTGTGCTGTCAGGGTCTGTCTCCTCAGAGGTACAGGTTTTCAAATGTGATTTCCACCTATGTTCTATAGGGTGGTGGTGGTGGGGAGTTCTGTGTTTAACAAATCCTGAAGACAGAGACTGTATAGACACCATAAGGAGGTATGCAATGAATTACTGAATACAAATGCATAACAGTTGTATAGATGATTTGTTGTTTAACTGAAGTCAGTTATTCTGAAAAATGTGAGAATTGCTGTGCTGAGCTGGTATTATCTGTCAACTTCCTAGGAAGTAGAATGCTTAATCTAGTGAAGCTAAGAAAATATAACTCTACTGATGCTCTCAACTGTATCCATTTTTATTTCATTAAGAAATTTCTTTTATATTTATTCATTTTTGAGAGAGAGAAACAGAGAGACAGAGAGACAGAGTGGGAGCAGAGAGAGAGAGAGGAAGACACAGTATCTGAAGCAGGCACCGGACTCTGAGCTGTCAGCCCAGATCCTGGTGCAGGGCTTAAACTCATAGACCTCAAGAAGTCGGACGGTTAACCCACTGAGCCACCCAGGCGGCTCCCCAAAGAATTTTTTTTAATGTTTATTTAGTTTTGAGAGAAAGAGAGACAGAGACAGAGAGTGAGCAGAGGACAGGCAGAGAGAGAGGGAGACATAGAAACTGAAGCAGGCTCCAGGCTCTGAACTGTGAACAAAGAGCCCAATGGGGGGCTGGAACCCATAAATAGTGGGATCATGACTGGAGTTGAAGTTGGGCACTCAACTGACTGAACCACCCACGCGCTCCTCAACTTTTTTAAGAGAGAAAGAGGGAGAGGGACAGGGGAAGAGGGAGAGATAGAGAGGAATAGAGAGAGATAATCTTAAGCAGACTCCATGCTCATTGTGCAGCCTGATGTGGGACTCAGTCCCACAACCCTGGAATTACAACCTGAGCCAATATGAAGAGTCCAATGCTCATCTGACTGAGCCACCCAGGGGCTCTGTTTCTTTTATTTTTTATGTATCAAGAGATTTTATAATAATTTTAGAGATCTGTTGACATTTCCTGTCTATAACTTTTTAATGTCTTAATTAAGAATATGAAAACTTCACTGGACTCTAAGCTAAGGTTTTTAACCTAAGGTTTTGAACTTTAAATGTAAATTTTATTGTTCTATCTCATGTCACAATCCCTGACAGAATGGTTGCACACAGGAAATACAAAAAGACACTTTCTCTTTCCACACAAGCATCCCTTTTATACCCTGCAAGGGTGGGTTGGCTTGTGTAACCTGCCTAGCTGGCTTCTTAATGGGAGAAGCAAAGTTCCATTCTGAATATAAATGGGGAGGGGAGTCTCCCACTGAGATGCCCCAAAGTCAGATTTTGTGTTACTTGCTGTGTTGCTCTTATGAGGAATAGCTACCAGCAGCAGCAGCTCAGAATTCTCTTTGTAAACTACAATATTCTGTTTCCTCTTCTGTGGGCTACTTAGCTACAAAAAGGAAGAGTAAGAAGCTCCAGGAAATCCTGGAAAGTACTTGGGCATTTCCCAAGTATTGCAAGAGAACTTCAGGCTTTCTATACACTTTGAATAGGCTTCTCTAGAAGGGCCTTCTATAGATTTCCTGGGAGTGCAGCAGTCACTTATGGGAGGGGACCCTGGGGCAACAGAGGAGGGGTGTGTGTGAGGGGAAATGGGGGGGCTGTGTAGAGGAAGCAGCAGGATTACCTCCTAATGCTGTGGCTTTTGTTTCCTGATGTCTCAGGGCTTAGAAACCAAGATGGCAGAGATTCACAGCTGAGACTTGTCTTACTGGGTAAGACTGGAGCAGGGAAAAGTGCCACAGGCAACAGCATCCTCGGAGAGAAAGTGTTTCAATCCAACATTGCGGCAAAATCAGTCACCAAGACCTGTGACAAAGGGAGCAGCAGGTGGCAGGGAAGAGAAATTGTGGTTGTGGATACGCCTGGCATTTTCGACACCGAGGCACAGGATGCTGACACCTGCAAGGAGATTGCTCACTGCATCTTCCTGACCTCCCCAGGGCCTCATGCTCTGCTCCTGGTGGTCCCACTGGGCCGGTACACGAAGGAAGGGCAAAAGGCCACGGAGAAGATCCTGCAAATGTTTGGACTCAGAGCTAGGAGATACATGATTCTCTTATTCACCCGGAAAGATGACTTGGATGGCATCAATTTCC